GCGACCCACTTACATGAAGGCAGAGGCAGGAAACAGGCAGCAAAGTCAGTCAACGCTCAAGTGTGCCAAAACAGTAGGTAGAGCGCTATGACTCGTAAAACACATGGCAAATCCCAACAAGAACTGCACTAACGTTCAGCCTTTCTCCTCTTGCCCTTCTCCCCCTCTCGACTCGGTGGCCATGGGATGCCGGCTGCTTCCCGTAGCAGCTGCTAGTACCGGATGTTTTTCCATTGCGCTCGTATCGTGCGAATACGTCAACAGGAGAAAGGCACAACCGAGAGGTCCGGCTCGATGCGAGGAGGCAACTTCGCCTGTCTGGACGAGCAGCATCGCTACGAGGGAGAAGAACGGCAGACCGTCGCTGCTCAAGAATGACTGGGCAGGTGAGCCGTGAACAATGATACATAGATCTATCTGCATGGAACGACCTATGGAACAGTGCCAGCCATTGTTCGTTTCTCGTTGCAGGCGTTGCAGATGTGCCCTGCACTGACCCGGTCTTGTCCCACTATCCATCGCTGGTGCTGCCCAGCAATGAGAATCTCGTCAGCTGCCACAGCTACCTGGCCTCGGTCAATCTCAAGAATCGAATACCCAACTGGTGAGAATCGCACCAGAAAGAGCCGACACACGCTTCCTTTCCATTGCCTTTGTCTGTGTTGTCTGGGTCAGGGTTGCCGAGAAGCTGACGTACGCGTCGGTCAATGGGCCCGCTGACCGCGCCAAGTCGAGCTTCCGCGTTGATCCGAGGGTCCCCCGGTTCTTCACGGCGACAAACGAGGTGCGAAAGGCGAGGCCATGGTTGTTTGACACTCTGCTTGAAGATTGTGGGTGCCGCTTTAGGATTACCGTGGCTCGGGGTATTCTCGTGGGCACATGGCTGCTGCAGGGGCACACAAAGACACACAGGTGCGCCGTTGACGGGGGGGGGGCTCACAAGCGCGTCTGTGGACAGAAGTGCGTGTATGCTACGTCTGTTGCTAGTAGGAGGCCATGGACCAGACCTTCTGGCTCAGTGGCAACATCTTGCCGCAGGAAATGTCCAACAATGGGTAGGCCGACAGACACATGACCTGCCGCAAATAACGTGCGTTTTGACTCATCTCGTCCAGGTCCGATTGGCTGCGTCTGGAGCATCTAAGTCGCCACCTAACCCGCTACTATGAAGATGTCTACTGCGTATCTGGGCCGCTGTTCCTTCCCCAACCCAGTATCAGACCGCCGAAGAGATTTGTGCGTCATGAGGTTGTGGGCGAGGGGCACGTGGCCGTTCCCACCCATCTCTTCAAGATCATCATGGCGGTCAGGCCGAGAGATGCTGTCATGGAGGAAGAGAGCAGTAGTGGCAACACGGCGAGAGGGCAGCACCAGCAGGGGACCGACATCCCCGCCGTGTGCTTTGGGGTATTTGTGATGCCCAACGGGCCTCTGTACGACGACAGGCATCCGAAGGACTTCCAGGTGCGCACCAAGAGGGAGGGAAGGCGCCAATGGTCAAACTTCTTCCTTGTGTTCATTTAGGTGCCTCTTTCCTTCGTTGAGTACCATTCTGGTCTGCGATTCGACGGCCTTCTCGGGCATGCCCTCTCCCTCCTTCCCCGTCAGACCCCCACTCACTACCAGCCGTCATCCCATTTCGACCCCCTCTTCTCCCCGCCCCCTTCATCACTTGTCAATGCCTTCCTCGATCCCTCATTGCCGTCTCTCTCTCTTCCCGACAGCACCACAAGTGACCCCCCACCGCACAATGACGACGCTCTCATCCTCCGACCACCACCTGCATACCGGCGCCCCCCGCCCGCCCCTGGCACTGTGAGGCTGTCGGTGTCCTTCCCGTCTTGGAGGAGAGAGGGAGAGGTGGTCGAGATGCCGGCCGTCTTGACGCAGGCCGACCGCCTCGTCCACACGCTGGCCATGTGTCCGCCGCCGAGCGATGGGTGGAAATGGACCCCACTGTCGCCCGTCAGGAGGGAGAGAGAGGTTGGTGGAGAGCTCTGTCGGTCGGAGGGGTCGGTTCGTGTTGCTGGGTGGAAGTATGTGGGGAGGCTGAAGCTTGCTGAGAGTGGTGAGGAGCTGGACGAGCTGATGGGCGAGATAAGGGAGAAGGGGCTGAGGGAGGATGATGAGTGGGGTTTGTTCGAGAGGGAGTATGCGTATCAGAAGAAGAGACTGGTCAGGCAGCAAGAGGCCAGGCAAGAGACAGCGACAGCTTGACGGCTTTTGACGGTTGTACTCATTCCTTTCGGGACGATTGTCATTGATGCATCCAAAGCCTACTGTCACCCACATTCCCACCCTTACCCTTACCCAGTGGCCTATGCACATTAGCCTTACAGACTAGCAAAACAGGCAAAACAGGCAGTTTGCCACACACCCTCTCTTACACACACAAACACACATAGGCACGCTATGCAGACAGACAAAAGGAGACAGACAAGGCACCCCTCACAGCGGAGTACAAGCTAACTCTGAGCGGTCTGGTTGTTCATGGTCATCTTGGCCTTTTCAGCCAAAGCGCTCATCATCCCCTCTGGCACATCCATCTGGTCTATCACCACCTCCACCAGCATCGGGCCTTTCACATGACACCCACCGCCCACCACGGCCGCCATGGCCTCGCGTAGCTGCCCCAGCGTCTCGACACGGACGCCCCGCTGTCCGCCAAACACCGAAAGAAGGCCGCAGTAGTCCCAGTTTTGGACGTCATTGTAGGCCGCATGTGCGCCCGAGGGATGCACAACACGCTCTGAGAGACGAAGAGAGAGAGGGAGATGTGCATGTGTGTGGTGGATTGGATCGCCTTGCTGACCGATGGTGTATCCCCGGTTGTTGATGACAAACACCACCACCGGCAGCCCGCAGCGTACTAGGGTCGACAGCTCCTGCGCGGCCACCTGCAGCGAGCCGTCCCCGATGAACAGAAACACTCTGGGCGACTCCCCGTGATCACAACCGCCACCACTAGCAGCATCGTTAGCACCACCACCAGCAGCAGATGGTGCATGGGTGGGGTGTGCTGCGATTGCGGCACCAACAACCGCACCGACCGACCATCCTTCAAGTATGTGTCCCCCCGCCCACACCAAGGAGATGGGAAACAAGTTTGTATGTGTGGACGTGTGTGTGGAGTATGTGCTGTGCTGAGTGAGGGCGCGCACCTATCGAGCACCAGAGCGGCTGCATCAGGATGGACCCGCCTTTCGGTAGACGGTAGTGCGACTGCACACGCCACACCACAATGTATACACGCATCATTCCCCATCTATCCATCGTTCCCACAGCCCAATCAACTCACTCACCAGGGCCATCATTGGCGTGCCGGTCTCCGCCACAATGACCGCACCAGCAGGCAGCCGGCAGTTGAGGTAGAAATGGTGGTTGCTCAGCGGCGTGTCGCCCTCAGTTTCTCCGTCCTCCTCAGCGCCCAGGGATGCGATCGACGTCCGCGAGAAGGATCTGCTGGCGTCGAAATGTCTGGGGGTGATCAGATCCGTCAGCCGAGTGAGTGCGTCGGCCTCCTACAGATAGACAGACAGACAGACAGTATGGGGTGTGTGGGTCTGTGGGCGGGCGTGGGTGTGTGTCCGGACCGAGACGTCGGTGAACCACGCTTTGCCGACTCTCATGGTGCCCTGGTGGACCTCTATTGAGTACTCGACTGATGTGAAGAAGCCCGTGTTGACGTCAGAGAGGCACGCACCGACCACCACCTGCACACAGAGGGTAAGAGATGGCACCTTGATGTGTGTGTGTGTGTGTGTTGACCGACCAGGCAGTCGCTGTCCTCGACTCTCTGTCGGACGCTGGTCTCACTCAGGCGGCCGATGTAGTGGCCCAGGTAGCACGGATGGTCCTCGCCAATGACTCCCTTCCCCATGAGATGTGTCGCGAAGGGGATCTGGCACCGCTCCAGCAGCCGCAGCACGGCCGACTGCAGGTTGAACCGGTGCACACCCACGTCAAAGATGAACACCTGCACACACCATACACACATAAGCACACAGCATAAGGCGCCACCCGCCCTGTCTGTGTGTCGTCCCTCACACACCGGCTTTTCGGCATTGTTGATTTTCATGGCCGCCAGCTCGGTGGCTTCTGTCAATGAGGTCTCGTCACTCCTGGCCGTGACGAGAGCCATCGTCCGCCCGCCGCCCGCTACGCTGTCGAAAAATGTGATCTCGAGGTTGCTGCCGTCTGGTGGGGCGAGGGGCGCGTGTGCATCGGGCACTGGATGGTCGACGATGTCTTGTGGGAGGTAGATCGTCACTGGCTGTCGCTTCTGTCCAGACAAGTGGACAGTGGAAGGTGTGGCGCGTTCTGGTTCGACGTCACTTCTCACGTGGAGCGCGCTTATGATGACTCTGTCGATGTCCGCTGCCGCACTGCACACACACAGACAAACAGACGAGAGCCAACACATTCATTGGTCGTGCATGAGACCCACACTGAGCTCACCTGGCCGGCTTGTTGAGGTACGCGGAGTCGCAGCACAGCCGTGACGACATCTCATAGAAAATCCGGAAATTCGAGCTGCAATCGGCATGTCTGTCTGTGCATCTCTGCCTATTCGTGTGTCCATTCTCTCACCGACCTATTGGCGAGTATGTTCTCAGGCAGTGTGTGGTGCAGCAGCATCCGCCGCCCCATCGCAGCCAGCGATGGCGCGCCGACAACGTGAATCACCGGCACCCTCTCAGCGCAGCTGCCTGCGATGCCATTGAGAGCCGAAAGCTCGCCCACACCGAATGTCGTCACCAGGGCTCCCACGCCGCGCATTCGCGCATACCTGAACCAATCAAACGAAGAGCACGAAACACATCCATCCACCTGTCCGTGTGTGAGGGAGTCGTGTTGTGCACAATCTCTACCCACCCGTCAGCCGCATGCGCTGCATTGAGCTCGTTGCACGTCCCAATCCATCTCAGGGCCTGGTGGCACGGGCCGTCCCCGTCGGCACCCGCATTGACGCACTTCTCCAGCACGTCCATCAGACGAAGGTTGAAGTCCCCGGGCACGCCAAACACGGCGTCGATGCCCACCTCAACCAAACGGGAGATGAGATGCTCCGCGATGCTCAAGCAAGCCATTTCGGTCGGCTGTTTTCGACTCAGCTGTGCATGAAGGCCCTCCTGAGTCGCATGAAAGCCGTCAATTCGTTCGTGTATCTGGGGGAGATCTGCAAGTCTAGCTCGCGTACGATTCGGCGATCCCCTTCGGTGGATGCGCCGCAGTGTGCTGCTTGTTGGCTGCGCACTGCTCCTGCTTGTGGCGGCAGCACCGGGTGATTGCTTCCATCTGTGTCGAGCCGCCTGTGCGTCGTCTTCGGAGAGCCAAAGAGGGTGCAGGACGGCACTGAGGGCAGCCATGGCTGGCGAAGGGGGAGCCAAACACATCCTCTGGTGAGGAAAGATGCGAGGAAAGGCAGATCTCTGTTGGTTCCCCGAATGCACTTGTCATCTCTTCTGGTGCGCAGTACGGGTGGCGCGGGTTATATCGGTTCACACACGGTGGTGCATCTGCTCAAGGCGGGTTATCGCGTGTCGATTCTGGACAACCTGAGCAACGCGTCGCTCAAGGTCAAGGAGCGCCTCAAGCAGATCACCGGCGAGGACGTCCCGCTCTTCACCACCGACACAATCGACACAGACGCGCTGCTCAAGTTGTTCAAAGAACAGGTGAGAGAGAGACGGGACAATGCACAGACACCATACAGAGTATATTTATGCGGTGTGCCGTTGTGGTGGGTTGGCCGACAGAAATTCGATGGTGTGATCCACTACGCGGCGTTGAAGGCCGTGGGTGAGAGCGTGGCGATGCCGCTCGAGTACTACACCAACAACGTCTCGGGGACTCTGACGCTGCTCAAAGTGATGCGCGAGGCGGGCTGCAAGGTGCTCGTCTTCTCGTCCAGCGCCACCGTGTATGCGCCAAAAGAGACGCCGCTCACCGAGCAAGACGCGCTGGGGCCGTCCAATCCCTATGGATGGACCAAATTCATGATCGAACAGGTCTGTGAGTGTGTGTGTGTGGGAGAAAGGGGCACATGCATACGAACACAGCACATGGGGTTGGCCGTCTGTGAGAGAGGATGTGATGGCATTGTCGATCATATATATCATCTGCAGATATTGCAGGATCTGTACAAGAGCGATCCGTCGTGGAAGATCTCCATCCTGCGGTACTTCAATCCCGTGGGCGCGCACCCCTCCGGCCGCATCGGCGAGTCGCCCTCCCAGCCCAACAACCTCCTACCCTACATTCAGCAGGTCGCCGTCGGCAGACGACCACAGCTCAGCGTGTTCGGCAACGACTACAACACACCGGACGGCACCGGTACGTGAGCTTGCACTCGTGCGTGTGCACACATTACAGACGTGTACGCGTATGTGTTGTCTGTGTATGTGGTTGTGTCAGGTGTGCGGGATTATCTGCACGTGGAGGATTTGGCTGAGGGCCACATCGCGGCCTTGACCAAGCTCTTCCAGGGCGACCCATGCTGCATCACACACAACCTCGGTAGGTACAGACGCACTCAGAGAGACCACCGACGAAGCGCATGTGTACGTGTACGTGTACGTGTATGTGTGCATAGGCACGGGTAAGGGTGTGTCGGTACTGGAAATGGTCGACTCCTTCGAGAAGGCCTCCGGCGTCAAAATACCTTACAAAATCGAAGCCAGGTGGGTCAGACCTAATCGATTAGCCAAACCAGCACCCAACACCCATTCGTTCCCTGTGTGTATGTGTGTGGTGTCAGGCGTGCTGGCGACTTGGCGACTGTCGTTGCGGACCCCTCCAAGGCCAACAAGGAGCTCAACTGGACCGCAAAGAGGACCATACAGTACGACGAAGACACGGCACATGACAGGGATTGCGTGAATGTAGTTTGTTCGTGTCTGATGGATGGATATCGTTGATGTGATGAACAGGGAGGCGTGTGCCAACGCGTGGAAGTGGCAGTCCACCAACCCCTACGGCTATGAAGACGCTCCGCCGCAGAAGTGAACGAATCAGCGGACGAACGAGCCCATCGGGGGGCCGGGGCTGACTGCGCCGTAGTTTCTCGGCCGGCAACGTAGACATTGCCGGGGGCATTTCTCGATTGACCGACTGTGGGTGTGGTGTTGTGGTCGCGTGAAGGGGTGGGGGGAGAGACACGAGAGAGCGGGATTGCACTTTCTTGAGCCCGTGTGAGGCATTCAGATATTCGTGGGTGCCTCCCCCTGCATACACACAGGGAATTTTCGCCTCGTGTCGCTGTGTAGGTCAAGTGCGATAGGTAGATGAGGGATTAAGCCGAGTTCGCCAGTTGATGCACTCGGTCGTCGCGTCAACTGTGTTGTGTGTATGAGTGCAGAGGACTCAGCATGTGTGGCTGATGGTGCTACATTTCCTCACAATACTGCCATTTGATCGTCGGCAACATTATCCACAGAATTCATCCTCGTCGCAATGGCATTGTAAACGCTTTGCAAGGGAAAACGGAAGACGCGACGGGAGAGGACGGGATGGTGGGAGGCTTTCGTGCTTTTTGAGCCACGTCCATGCTGAACTCCCTCACAGGATGGCGGCGTACGGCAGAGATGCCCTTTCTGCGACGAGTCGGCGTGTCGGCGGCAGGTGCCGAACGTGAGACGCCCCGTCTCAAGCAATCAAGGCACGAATGTGTCACACGATCGCGAGTACTGAGGAATGAACGTGTCGGTCTGATGGCGGTTGGGAGGAATACGGAAGAAGAAGTCGCGCATTGTGCAGGCATGGAAGGTGCTACAGGGAGGAGGAGGAAGAAAATAAGAAAGTCGAGACGGCGAGAATTTGGGGACGAGGAGACGGTTTGGGAGCTTTATCCAGAATCGTTTCTTCGCCCTGGCAGATTTTCATTCAAGACGGGCGCACTGGCTCCACGTCAGCACCTGCTCCGCCATCCATGCTGCATGCCACTCACCAGTGCACAGACGGACGACAGGGGCTGTCAGCAGCCATCCACTCCGCTGCCACAGCAGCCACCCATTGTGCCGCCACGTCTGCCGATCACAGCCCGGCGGCACATGACGGTGCTGATCGAGAGAGAGAGATGGCACTGCTGGCCGACGAGCAGCAAGGACGACAACCCCACCTCCCACCACACCCGACGCCACCCGTGCGTTCTCCCGTCTCCACGATTGAGTCTACTGTATTTTGTGTGCCTGTGTGTGTGTGTGTGTGCAGACGACAGCGAGCAGAGGAAGACCAAGCGTGACACGCAAGAGCAAGGATGCATGAAATTGCAAATTGGAGGCATGGTTCCTTAGCCTCGCTTCCTTACATTTGTGTGCAGTCAAAAAGGGGTCGAGCTGCAGGACAGTGGAGGATCCCCTGTACTCGGTGGCCAATCACCTGCACGCCCAGACGGGGGAGAGGTTGAAGAGGGGGCGCCTCGAGACCCAGCTGAAGGAAGAGTACAGCACTGCAGCAGCCCAGTTCATTGCAAGGCTGCATACTGCTTCGTCTGAAAGGGAAGGAACGCAAAAGGGCGGACAGACAGCCGCCGGCGGAGTGGTTTGAGGGTGAATGGAGGGATTCTCTTTAAGTGTGAGGACATTCTTTTCCCGGGTGTGTGTTCTCTGCGGCTGCATACGTGTGTGCAGACAAGGAGAAGACGAAGGAGAGGGTGAGATGTGACGACGCTCTTGATGCTTGTCTATTTTGTGTGTGTGTGTGTGCGTGTGTGCGCGCGCAGAAGACAGCAAGCAGAGGAAGACCAAACGTGACACGCGAAAGCAAGGAGGCATGGCCCCTTGAGCCTCGCTTCCTTACATTTGTGTGCAGTCAAAAAGGGGTCGAGCTGCAGGACAGTGGAGGATCTCTTATACTCGGTGGCCAACCACCTGCACGCCCAGACGGGGGGGAGGTTGAAGAGGGGGCGCCTCGAGACGCAGCTGAGGGAGGAGTTCCGCAAGTGGGACCACAGCGGGAAAAGGCGCAGCATGAGTAAGTGACGGACCGGATTGGCGTCGCCATCCATCCAGGCCGTGTGTTTGCCATTTCAGAACCTGGCGAAACCAAAGACGGCCTGATCAACCAACACAGCAATGGGCCAGGATGCGTTTGATGCATCTGTCCGTCTGTCAATGTGCCTCTGGTGTGTTTGTGTGTGGGTCTTGTGTGTGTGGTGCAGTACACCGTGTTGCCCGAGTATTATATTCCCATCGTGATGCAGTACCTTCAGATGACCAATGACGAGTTGCGCACCACAGCAGAGAGTGGAATGTAAGCGCAGAAACGGCACACCAGACACACACATGAATTGAATGCACTCGGATCATTCCCTGTGTGTGTGTCTGCTGTGTGTGGTTCCTTTCTCTCTGTCAGTACGAGTGGTTGTACATCCACACACTCATCGCCATCTGGGCCCCCCAGCCGTGCCCCGAGCTGCGCACTCGGCTGCACGTGTGGACCAAGTGCTGCATTGTGCCCATCTGCCGCCTCATCCATACCGCACCCGGCCAACCGACTTGTCTGCACTGTGGAGCATTGCCAGTGTCTCTCTATAAGTGTTCTGGAAATGAGTTTTTGCAAAATGTGACCTGTTCTGCTCAGGCGTTTCTCACGCCTCCCTCTTCCAGACAATTCACACCGTGTATCAGCCCGACGCGAACGGCCCGGCCTACCTGTTCACTGAGCTGCTGGACGGCGACATGGCCGGGTGGCTCAGGAAAGAGCGCGCCAAGGCACAGACACTCGGGCTCCAAGGTGGGTGGGTGCATCACACACACACACCTCCACGATGCGCATTATTGTGTATGCCTCTCTTTTCTTCTGTTTGTGCGTATGTGCAGGCATCAAGGTCGACACGGTGTTGGACAAGGGGAGGGGCATCCTCGATGGGCTCCGCCATATGCACATCAAAAAGGGTATGCGTCGAAGACACACATACATACACACGTACTGCTTTGTGTGTCTGTGTCTTCCATGTAGTCGCGCACTTGGATTTGAAGAAGGAAAACATCCTAATGACGACCACAGGCGCGCCCAAGATCGGCGACTTCGGTGCGCCACCACATCAGCAGCATATGTGGATGGATCCTTCGCACACCAGTCCTCGTCCCTCTGTGTGTGTGTGTGTGTGTCTTATAATCAGGACTGTTTTGGTTGTTCGACCCGCCCGACCCCCAGCACCCGACCGTCGTGGTATGAAAGGCACAAGTCTGTCTATGCAACAGAAATGCACCGGTCTGTCTGTCTGTCTGTCTGTCTCTCTGTCTGTGTTGTTGGTGTGAGCAGGTTAGTTTGCTACTTCGTCCCCCCGAGCTCCTCGGGGGCAACAACTCATACGGACTCATCGCAGATGAATGGTAAGTGGACCAGACACACCTGTGTGTAGGTGTATGTATCTTGGACGGCATGGCAGGTCGGTGGGCGTCATGTTTGTCGAGGCCCTGAGCGGCAAGTACCCTTTCGCGGGCAAGGCCAAGGCGGACGACGAACAGGGCCAGGTACGCACCAACAGACAGACAGACAGACAGAAACGTTTGTGTGGTTCGTGTCTCTGTGGCTTCGTGAAGTTTGAGGTACTATGCGATATTGTCAAGAAGATCAACTGCCCGCAGCACTACCGCCACACACTCAACAGCATGCCACTCGTGCAGAAGTTCGCCAGCCAAGGGCAGGTGGGTGCCGGACTAACTGTGGCACACACACATACCGGTGTATACGTTTCTGTGTGTGTCGGTATGTGTGTGTGTGTGTGTGCAGTATCTGCCCTTCGGCAACTTCACGGACACTGCCGCAGAGCTCACTGCCATCGCCAACCTCATAGGCCGCCCTGATATCAAGGCCAACGACCCGATCGTCAAACTCATTCACAGGTAAGTTCACTCACTCCACTCACACATGGACGCCATGCACACAAACAGACACATGTTCTGGTGTATGTGTCTTTATGTGTGTGTGCAGGTTGTTGCAGATCGACCCGGCCCGCCGCGTCACGGCTGAGCAGGGCCTCACGCCCGCGAGGATGGGCACTGGATGGCGAAACTACCTCCGCAACGGCGGCGGAGCAAGGCCGCTCAGGCACTCGCGGAGACGGGACTCTGCCGCTGCTGCTACGCCTCACACCTGATGGGGCTAGCCCGGCCACCCAAGACCAACGTCCAACTGATCACCCACATGAAGGTCTCGGTACGGCTGTGGCTGGAACAACAAAGCGACAAACAGCGAAGGAATGGGAAAGGGCGAGAGAAACGGCGAGAGGGAGAGTGGCCGCTGCTGGCGCTGGTTGACCCAGTCAACGACACGGCTGGTTCTACTGAGCCCAACCAAGACGAAGATGTAGCTGCGCGACATGAAGATCAAGGTGCGCATGGGGCTGGAGGACCAACAAAAGAAGGGCAGCTCGATCACACTTCTGTTGTGTCTCAAATCAGAGATTTTTGCAGTGTGGTAATTGGAGAATGCCTGGCCGCTGCTATCTATCGCTGTCTTCATTTTATATCGGCCAGCAAGTGGACCCACAGATTCATGCAAGGGGATGTGCGACTCATGAGCTGATCGTTTCCGATGTGCGACGTGTCTTAAGCTTGATCAATCGAAACACAGACAAAGAGATCCTCCTGGTTGTACAGCGACACCAATTGATCTGTCCTCACACACACACACACATACACATCAGACCGTGAGACACACAATAAGCCGTGGCAAAGAGCTATGTAGCTGCAATGACTGACCTCTCCGCGTATAGCTGACTGACTGACTGACACATCAGGCGGGGGAGTCGATGTAGGCAATTGTGATATATGACGAGGGAAGGGATGGAGCGATGGAGCGATGGAGCGATGGATGGGTGGATGGATGAACGTGCCGCAAAGACTGATGACTGAATGAGCTATCCAGAGTGCGGTGCGATCATTCTGTGCAGCTCATGATTGTGCACTATTGTACCGCCTTATCGCGTATCGTCCAAGGTCTGTATCAACACGCTCCCCCCCCCACACACATACACGCACTTGAGAGCTCACACGACGACGCCGATCCCTTGGGAGCAAGAAAATGCGGTCAAAAGACTTTTGCACGGGCAGCATCGATATCGATCACATCTGGCAGAGCAGCAGACACACAGACAGGCACTTAGACAGAACATACTGCCAGAACCAGCCACACTACACTACACCCTCCCTCGCTTCTTGTCTCACTAACAAAGAACGACCAGATATGTTATGTACATGTGTGCAATGCACAATCGACAGACACGTGGATGGGATGGACCATCCCAATGGCATCCCTCCAGTCACTTGAGGCAAACACACACCAGCCACCCTCTATGCCCACCCATTTGATGTCATCCATACCTCTCTCTACACGTAATACGGTGCTCGTGCTTAAACAAAGACGCGCGAGCCTTTACACATTCACCCATCCTATACTATACTATGTGTCAAGGCACCCACACACACAATGTGTTGGTTGTGGTGTGTCTACCAGTAACCGCCGTAGCCACCGCCGTAGCCACGGCCATACCCACGGCCGTAGCCACCGCCACCATACTTCTTGTTCTTGTAGCCACCGCCACCATACTTCTTGTTCTTGTAGCCATACCACTTCTGCTTGAGCTTGTTCTTGTAGTACTTGAGCTTGTCCCAGAAGTCCGGGCCCAGCCTCCGCTCTGTGGGACTCGATGACTCCTCCACAGCCTCCAGGCCACTGGGCTCATCTTCATCTTTATCTGCACACACACCACACACACATACAGTACGTGGCCAAAATAATCTATGACGTGTGTGCAGTTGCGGCGGGGATGTCTGTCTGCACACCCACCTGTAAGTGCCGCCGTCGACTCATCAGCCGCGACCTCATCGTCTGCTGCCGCTGGCTCCGTCACAAGAGCATCAGACACACCACCTACTTACAAGCACACAGACAAATACACACGAAAGGCGTACCTCTGACTGCGAGGCATCTATGTCACTTCGTGTGTGCGTACCATCGGATGTCACTTCGTCTGTGGTGTCACCAGCTTCCCCTCCTCGCAAACGCCGGGCCACCGCAGACGGAGCATCGGCATTAGCAGCCCGCCGCTTCTGATCATCAGCGCAGACCAGTGCGATGCCAAGCAGGCATACCAGCAGGGAAAGGGAAAGGAGCTTCATCGGTCGTGGAGCGGGCGGACGACGGGTGGAAACGCAGACGAGCAGCGGGCAGGTGAAGAAACAACAACAACAAGGGGCTGGCTGAAGAGAACAAGTCGAGGAGAGACAGACTCGGAGTCAAAAGCGATGAGAGTGGAGGGAGTCGAGGGAGAATGCTGCAGATGAGAGGACAGAAAGGGGAGAGGAGCCTGGCCGCTAAGACAGAGGGCAGAGAGACAGGGAGGGCTGTCGTCGCACGGCTAACGAAGAGAGAGGAGAGCGCGCGGGGATCCGCAACGGCCGCGAAATGTAAACGCTGTTGGAGGGATCGCCAAGCTCGCACGTGGATCTCGCATCAGGTTGTGCCGGTGAGGTATGCGCCCCATATGTGCGTCGACACGCGTGAGAAACGGAACTTTGCACTGACGCAAACGAGACCGATCTGTATCCATCGCCGGGCTCAGACACACAGCGCACACAACAAAAGCACCTCCAAAATTGTACATATGTGGCAGAAGCAAGGAAGGCACCGGCTGGCCGGCCACATGGCCGGATGGGCACACTAGTCTGAAAAGGTATGTATACGAGATGGGTTTTTGTACCAGGCAGGACGAGAAGAGGTTCTCATGCCCTTCGGCACATCGGCACATCAGGCAGAAAACCGACAGACGCGCACACCTCCCCATCCCTCCCTCCCTCCCTCCCTCCCTGGCCGTCAGAGGTATTGTCACCTTGGTCGGCTGTCTTTCCAGATCTACATATGTATCTAATTACACACACATACACACACGTACACGTACGTCCATCCATTCGTCGTCCAACCATCTCGTCCCTCACCCACCGAGCCATGGCCAGCAGGCGCAAAAAATGCACCGCCCTCGCTTTCACACGCACGCGCACCCATCCACCCATCCACACATCCATCCATCCGTGTGTACGCGCATGATACGTGCATTAAGGCATTGCTGCATTCACAGGCAAAGCAGAAGTAGGTGTGTAGGCCGGTTTGCGTCTTCTAGCACCGCCTTTGGCGTCTTGTGGCCGGCGTCCTTCATCTCGGCGCTTCCATGCTATTTCCATTAGCAAGGAAGAGGCAAGTGAAGGACACTGACCACAAGACGCCGGGAGACGGGGGAGGTGTACGTAGGGTGGCACGGTAGGCACATCCACTCTCAAACTCACACACATCCACATATATGAGACATACATGGCATGGCATGGCATGGCTGCATCCATCGCAAAGGTAGGTATGGGCCTGGCCTGGCCTGGCATGGCAGCCGGGGGAGTCACTAGCTGCTAGCTCGATCTGCGATACCACACATACACTCACACACACACACACTCGACACGTCGACCCCTCCGTGGTGTGATGTGACACCATAGAAACACTTACGCACACACGCACTAAACAAACATTCATTCATTCACACACATACACAGACAGGCAAAGGCGGACACACGAGACACCAGCTTCACCACCGCACCCCACCACCGACAGCCATGGCCACGACCAGCGTCGGCAGCAGCAGAGACATGACCGACGCCGTCACCGACAGAGCACTGGAGGAGTCGGGGCTGCCCTCCTCTGGTTGGGCGCCGCCTTGCTGTGTGCTGGTGAGGAGGGGGACGGGCTGGCCCTTGGACGCATACTCGTCGTAGAATGACGACACCTGACGGACGGACGGATGGATGGATGGATGGATCAGGACACACGCACACCGCACAGGCAGTTGTGTGTGCTTAGTGCTACTCACCTTATCCCAGTTGACCAGGCCCCACCATGCAGCGATGTAATCCGCCCTGGTTGACGCACACAGCCAGCCACAGAGACAGATGAGATGCCGCTTGCCCGCGACCTTTACTGCCCTGCCCTGCCGACCTCCTGTTCTGGTATTTGAGATAGTAAGCATGCTCCCAGACGTCCAAACCCAATATGGGGATCATGGCGTCGCCTGCATCGTCGTCCATCAGGGGGCTATCCTGGTTGGGCGTGGTCACGATGGCGAGGTTCTGGGGGTCCTTGGGGTCGACCACCAGCCACGCCCAGCCTGACCCGAACACTCTTCCGGCACGGATGCTGAACTGCTCCTGCATGGCCTCGAAGGACGGGAAGGACACCTCGATGGCCTGCACACACACGGTGAATGGCCTCACAATGGTCCGTGCTCGAGGGGTATGTGGGGACTTGGGGGCGTGGGTCGGTCGCTTGCCTTCATGAGGGCTTCTGACGGCTGGCTGGCGGCTGTGCCGTTGGGCGCCATGGTCTCCCAGAACATGGCATGCTGCAGCGGTGCACAGGGGGAGATCAGGGGAGGGGACGGGAGGGAACGGGAAATGTATGTATGCATGTGTTTCTGTTGCATCCAGCCCTGCTCACGTTGTATGCGCCGCCTCCGTTGTTCCTCACAGCAGCTGACATCGAGACACGTACACAAGGCATACATAGACCTGTCAGTCAGTGTGTTGCCGAATGACGGGAAGCAAATGGTCGTGGCTACACTCACCGCCGAGTGTCTTGATCTTCGGCAGCAGGGCCGTCAGCTCAGTCGGCACCTCACTCAGAGTCCTGTGAATGAATGGATGGATGGATGGATGTGTGTGTGTCCTCTTGTTGTGTGGTCTCCCTTACGAGATAGCCGTGTTGAGTTTGTTGATGTATCCGGCGTGGTGTTTGCTGAAGTGCAGCTCCATTGTCTGCGCGTCGATCACCGGCTCCAAGGCGTCATAAGCATACGGCAGCTCCGCCTGCTCGAACACCACTGCACACCAAACAGGTCAACACACAAGGCACGATTTAGGACGGATGACCTGGCGCCCAACAAAGGTCCTCCCTCCTACCTGGTGCGTCTGCCTCTGCGAGTTGTCTGCTTCTGAGCGTATCGCCGTTGGCAGCGGCGCTGAGAACGTCTGCGTCTGAGTCTTCTGGTGGTGGAGCGGTGGTGGCCTCCTCCTCTGTCAGGGATGGCACCGGGCTGCCCTCCAACGCGTAGCTCTCAAAATTCTCAGACACCTGAACGAGTGGATGGATGGATGGAGGGAGAAAGGGATGGGAGCTTTTGGCATGGCAAAGCGAGTGTAGTGTGTCTCTGTGCGTACCTGTGTCCAGTTGATGATGTTCATCCAGGCGGCGATGTACTCAGCCCTATAGCAGCAGAGAATCGTTAGACAGATGGACGTGCTGCGCGTGTGGATCGCTTCCCTCCCCTCTCCCTTGCCGACCTCCTGTTCTGGTAATTGAGGTAGTAAGCATGCTCCCAGACGTCGATACCCAATATGGGAATCGCCTCAAGGCCCATCAGGGGAGAGTCCTGATGGATGGATGGATGGTCGGATGACACACACATACACACGTGCACACACAGGCCGACAGATCTCACCGCGTGCTCACCTGGTTGGGTGAGGTCATGATGGAGAGTGCGCCTGTGCGGCCGACCACCAGCCATGCCCACCCTGACCCGAACACGCTTCCCGCCGCCTCGCTGAGGGCTTCCTCGAAGGCATCGTAAGACCCGAACGCACTCGTGATAGCCTGAGGGATGGACACACGTTGGGAAGAGGCATTTCACCGATCAGTCAGTCGATGTGCCATTTGTCGTCTGTGCGTGACTCACCTGTTCGAGTGCGGCGGACCGCTGGCCGACCCCGTCCACTGGTGCCATGGCCTTCCAAAACAGATCGTGCTGCAGCGGGGCGGGGTGCGATGGGGGAAGGAAGACACACCAAGTGAGAGCATGTGTGGATTGGATCACAGCCTATCTGTCTGTCTGTCTGTCTGTCTGTCTGTCGGCTCACGTTGTAGGCGCCGCCTCCGTTGTTGCGCACCAAGACTGACACACACACACACATATACACACACACAGAATGTCGCATGCTCATGTCGGCCTACAGCTGGTTGGCTACGTACCATCTTGCTCTTTAGCGACCTCGATTATGTCAGTAAGCGACAGGCTGTCAAACGACGACGCATTGGTCCTGACAGACAAGTAAGACACACGCGAGAGAAATGATGAGGATGGATTGACACATCAGCCACTCCGCTGCTCTGCTCTGCCCTTCCATCTCTCAAGGCCTTACGCGATGGCCTTGTTGAGGTTTGTGATGTATCCTGCGTGGTGTTTGCTAAAGTGCAGCTCCATTGTCTGCGCGTCGACCGCCGGCTCCAACGCGTCATAAGCATACGGCAGCGCATCTTGCACAAACGACACTGCAAACACAAACAGCACGGACAGGCCCGCTAACTGCGGCCTTCTTGTGATCCTCTCCATATCTCCTCCGCACTGACCTGCTGTGGCAGTCCCGAGAAGCGCTGCTGAGACTGTTGCTGCCAAAACCCACATCTGTGCCGTGCTGACGCCTCAGGCCGTCGCAAAGTGCGCCGGAGCGGTGCTGTGCAGATCTCCTCCTCGTACCTTACAGGAGCCGGCACTGGCTGACAGTGTCTGTTGGCTGTGGCAGCGTCTGTTGGCTGTGCAATGTCTGACAACTGCTGCTACTGCATCTATCGGGGGAGATTCGCCTTCAGATCTCCTCGCAAGCTTGACTAAAGCTCGCAAGAGTCGCCTAGGGTGCTGCATGAAACCGGTGGCGCACCACAGCCTGGAGCCTCGCAGCTCATCTGCGCTGCAGAAGGTCCCCGTCAAGGCGTCCAAGTGGTAGCCATCTGGCATCTTCCATTTCTACAATGATCCGCCATCGATATGCGGCGCTGCTTCCCCACCACCGAGGATCTGGCTCTTTCGTGAGGTGCACCACCACGCGCCCCTTGTCTTCCAGTTCTACCCCGCCCCGTGAGCCAACCGACAGCCCCGACTCCCCAGCTTTACCACAAACAGAAGAAGCAGCTTATGACTCATCCCTGCTCACCGATGCGGCACGGAAGAAGGCCCGGGTCAAGGCGCTCTTGCGGCAGTTCGACAGGCTCAACTGGGACGCGCGGAAGACCCTCATCGACCGGCGAGTGTATCCGCCGTCGGCTGAGGTGCCCAAGTGGCAGTCGGACGACGCTGCGGCGATGCAGATAGGGCCGGAGCTGCAGGGCCGTGACCGTCGGCTGGTGGAGAGGCGTGTGGTGGACAGGCGTGAGCAGGAGGAAAGGGAGCGGGGCGTCAAGAAGCGGGAGAAGGGCAAGCCAGCATATGCGCGGCGGAAACCCGTCAAGGTGCGTTTGTGCGAAAGATAGACAGACCGACACATAGCCAACCATTGCCTGCGCTTGCTCTCCCCGTGTGTGTGTGTGTGTGTGTGTTTGTTTGTTTGTTTGTTTGTTTGTATGCAGTACAAACGCTTTCAGCTGATGGGCGCAGAGGAGCAGCCAGCCGAGTAAGTCGGCAAGACAGCCAACAGCCGTCGGCCGCCGTCACACAAACGTTTGTTTGTCTGTGTGGGTGTAACTCACTCTCAGGTCAGAGGCCTTCTCTGACCGCGTCGCCCTGCAGACGCTCTGTGAGGACCGGCAGAAGGCGGAACTCTACGAGCACATCACAAAACGGCTCAAGAACCAGTGGAAGACGCCGGTATGTCAATCCAGTCACTGTGCACTCTAATGATGTGCTGTCATGTCGGTTCATCCCTTCCTTTAGAGTGCGCCGACCGACCAGTTCTTCGACGTCATGTCCAATGCAGTGAGGGACGACCTAATGGATCAAAGGTCAGCCCTGGAGATGCGTCCGTCGATGGCTAAAGGCGGAAGTGTATTGTGTGTCATTGCAGCCGTCCGAAGCTGGTCAACGTGCTGGCTGACTACGACAACCCCTACATGATGAAGCGGGCGGTGCTCCAACGCATCCTCTACGACCACTGCACGCGCAACAAACTCGACGAGGAACAGGCATGCACCGCACCGCACAAACCACACGCCATACACCACACACAAATGTCTGCGGCACGGGAGCGTATGTCTATCTCAACGGACGATCGCTGTGTGTGTTAATGTGGCAGGTGGAGAATTATCTGGACAAGTATCGGCCAGACCTGACCAAACTGCGGCTGGAGGTAATCAGGTCCACACCACACACCCACAGAGAGATGCCAGCCATGCACGCAAAGAGAGAGGGAGTGTTGTCTCCGTCTTGTCCTCCAGGCAAAGATGCCGCCCGAGGTGATTGAGCCGCTGATGGCCTTCCGCGGCGATGTGCGGTACCACTACGACAGCCGCGAGAGGCTGCAGCAGAAGCTGCACGCCATCGGGGCCATCATCAACGAGCTTCACGTCAAGAGAGAGAACGGTGGGCGAGTGAGTGGGTCGGTGGGTGGATGAGGCCAGCCAATGCACGAACATGCATGTGGGAGCTAATGTGTGTGCAGGTGAGAAGGTGGACGTGGATGAAGTTCTGAGCATTTTGCCGGAGAACCAGCCCACAGAAGAGTGAGTGAGGAGACAGAAAGATCAACACAAGGAAAGGTCCCCTTACTGTCTTTGTGTGTGTGTGTGTGTGTGTGTGTATGCTGCCCACCCACCCACCCCTCCCTCCCTCCCTCCCTCCCTCCGGGCCCACCCCCTGC